CACCGCTTCAATTGCCACTTCTAAGCAGATGACTTACAAATCTATATATCCATGCCTGACCACTTTTTTGAAGTGAATGCTTAACTACGTACGTGACCTATAAATCTGGCTATCCCATCAACATCTCAAGGTCCTCATGTCCAAAATCAAGCTCATTAGTTTTCCTTTAAGTATGTACCTGTTTTTGACTCCACTATTTTTATCTGTGGCACATGGTCTCCTAAGTTTGAAACTGTGGGGTTGTGTTTGACTCTTCTCTCTTTCTCACCTCTCCCAACACCCCTTGCACCTGTTCCCTTTTCTCTATTGCCACTGCCAACACCTGGGTCGAAGCCCTCACTAAGAGCCTCCTAACAGATGTTCTCAACTCTATTCTCTTCCATTTGTCCTTCATGCTTCTTTGGGAATAATCGCCCCTCCTCCAGACCCTCCCCTACAATCTGGCATCACAGTCTGGCACTCTCTCAGCTTTAAATCATATTATTCTACAAGGGACTACTCTGCCTTCCACACATACAATGCACTCTATTCCCTCTGACTGGAATGTTCTCTCTCTCTCTGTCTGTCTGTCTGTCTGTCTGTCTCTGTCTCTCTGTCCATTGAATACAAACTCATTCTTTAAAGTCCAAATGAAATGCATTCTCCTAATACCCATGACTAGCCACCTGTCTCACTGGTTCTCACACAGCACCTTCTAACTCTCTTATTCACTTAACATGCCTTGTTGTTCATTATAGTTATCCGTGTTGGTAATCTCTTAGATTCCAAATTCCACGAGGGTAGCAACTGTGCTTTAATCTAAACTTTGCATCTCTTCTAGCACCTAGCACAGTGTTCTACATTCAGTAGGCTTGTTCAATATTGAACGAATAAGGGGCAGCTAGGTGGTGCAGTGGATAGAGCACCGGCCCTGAAGTCAGGAATACCTGAGTTCAAATCTGGCCTCAGGCCAAACACTTGACACTTCTAGCTAGGTGACCCTGGGCAAGTCACTTAACCCCAATTGCCTAAAAGTAAATAAAAATATTGAAAGAATAGAGAGAGTTGGGATTTGAATCTAGGTCCTACAACTCTGAATCTAGTGCTCTTTCTGCTCCATCATCCAAGAGGGGTGGGTGCAGATAACCATGGAGCTGAAATCATCACCCAAAGCTGTGGTTCTCCTCTAATGCTTTTTAGCCTTAATGTTTTTTAGTATTTGTTCTTCCACTGGAGATCCCAAGCTAATAAGTTTGGTCCAAAGGGACACCTGGTTGTCCACCTATCCTATGGTCCCAGAAGACAAGCCCTGCTCCCTCCTGCTCCCACTCAGCTAGACAAGAGGAAACAGTCTTCCTCCCACAAGGGAGCCCCAGTGCTAAGAATGCTGAGTGATAAAAAAAAAGTGGGAAGAAAGAGATAGGAAAAGAAAAGACCATAGAATGCTGATCTTATCATCCACAGTCCTATGTTGTTGTGCCCTGACTCATCTTCTGAGATTTCCATTTTTTGGTTGTACTTGGAAGCTTTTCCCTGATGCCAGATATTCATCCTTCCCTCTGTCCTAGACTGGAAATTCCTTGAGGAAGAAATTATTTTCATCATATAGCAAAAACAGCTCATCTGAATCCCCAAATAACTGGAAATTTTTTTCCTACATTATAGTTCTTAAAGAAAGAGACAATTGACAAGAAAGCATAGTGACTAGTAAGGATGTCATTTTTTCTGGTTGAGTTTTTTTTTTAAATGCTAGGGTACATGCAGCACTAGAAAGAATGTCAGATTTGGAATCCAATGGCATAGGTTTAAGTACTAGCCCTGATGCTTATTAGCTTTGTGACTTTCAGCAAATTACTTAACCCTTCTGTATTTCAGTTTCTTCATCTGTAAAAATGAATATATTTTATTATTTTCTTCACAGGGTTGTTAGCAGATAATAACAGCTCACATTTTTATTGTGCTTTGTAAGTAACAAATGTGAGCATTTGTAAATAACAAAGCCTTATGTAGAAATGTGAGTGGTGGTGATGATGGATGATGTACTGGTATCCTCCAAGCTCCTATATTTTCTATAGCTGTAATACTGTATGATGAAAACTGACATTCAGAATTATGTCCCTTTGAACAAAACAAAGCTTTTGCTTAAATAATAACAGTTCAATTATATTCAGTATCCTAGAATTACTAAGATAACAAAATATTGTTATATTTTATGAAAGTTTTTTCAATGATAAGGGATAAAACAAGCAGACTTTCTCTTTAATCTTTTATTAACTAGAACTCTCAATTCCCCAGGCATTCCACTTAACAGAGGTTTTACTATAATTCTAAGTAGAGTTCTCTGAGCCCAGTAGGTGCTTTAAAAAATGAAGAAAATATAGTCAGGAGGTAAAGCAAAAGGAAGATAGGATTCTGGATTTTGCTGTTGAGTCTTCCAAATTCTGCCAAAGGACTATGTCATCTAGGAAGCTATGTGGTCTAGTGGTAGAACTCTGGACTTGGAGTCAGAAGGACCTGAACTTAAATCCTGCCTCTGGCATTTGCTAGCTGTGTAGCGCTAGGCAACTCATTTGACTTTCTCAGCCTCACACTTCTCATCTGTGGAATGGGTATAATAATAGCACCTAGTTCTCGGGGTTGTTGTGAGGATCAAATGATATATATTTGCAAACATATATAAAACTCTTTGCAAACCTCAAAGCACTATATAAACACTAGCTATTGAGGTATAGTCATCCTTCTTAGCCACAAATATGAAACTCAGGATTTGGCAATGATAGGGCAGGGTGAGAACTTTACATTACCCGAATGAGTCACTCCTATATTATAATAGTAAGGGATTTCATTCATTCACTCTCACTTTACCTGCAGGTGCTCTGCCCAAAGGAATATAATTTTGATCGAAAGACATCTTGGGGTTTACCAGCTAGACTTCATCCTAAAGGACCACACCTTAAACCCAAATCACTCTGCTCCAGCCCTACTTAATCATTGTTTGGGCCCCGATGGCTCAGAGTGAATGTAAATAGCAATTGTTTCGGTTTCGGACAGAAACTCACAGGATCTTCACCTCCCAGACTAATTATTTTTTTTAACTAGGTATAAGAGGATATTTTCTGCAGCATTTCTTACCTAACCTTAATCACTGAATGGGCCTTGCCTCAATCAGACTGAGACCTGGGAAAGATCTTAACTTAAAAGGCCAAGGTTTCCCACTGTATCTGGAGCCATCTCCAGTCATCTTGATCTATATTTTGCCACTGGACTCAGATGGTTCTGGAGGAGAGACTGAGGCTGGTGACTTTGAATAGCCCTCCCTCACTTAAATCCAATTCACTTGCAAGTCATGGCATCACCTTCCTGATGCCATGGTCCTCTTCTAGAATGAAGGACAAACAACATTTAATAAATACCTACTATTCCCAAATTCATGGTACTGGGGAAGGTATGAAGAATATCACTTACAACAGCCATATCAAACACATAGCCTTCCACCCACAACATTCAGTCTACAGTGTTCTTCAGTGCAGTCTGAACCAGATTAAAATGTAATGGGAAATATTTAACAAAATAAACAAAAATACAATACAACATAGATAATGTTAATATGTGGTTTTTAAAGTCAATATATGGCCAGTAGGGATCCTTATGTATAGTTTAGTTGCCCTCATTTCTAATTGAGTTTGACACCACCATCTTACATTTTCCACCCCCCTGGACACCACTTTAGTTCAAGCCCCTATCACCTCTCACCTGGATTTTTTCAATAATTTTTTTGCCGTAAGTTTCCCTCATTTCTAATCCATCCTCCACAAAACTTCCAAAGCTCAGGTCAGGAATGACCATGCCATTCTCCCGAACAAGAAGAATTAGTGGCCCCCTAATTCCCGTAGGATAATGTACAAATTCCTCTGCTTGGCATTGAATGTCCTTCAGAATCTGGATGGTGCTTACCCTGCCAGGCTCAGTATGCATTGTTCCCTTTTACTCACCCTACATTCACAGTGTCATCTTTGCTCTCCCCTGTAGAGGACTTTTCATCTCTTGTCTTCCTGCCTTTGGACAGACTGTCCTTCATATCCAAATGTTTTCTCTCCTCTATTCCATCTCTTGGAATCTCTGAATACTTCAAGGCTCAGTTCAAAATGCCAGCTTTTACATGAGGGCCTTTCCTGATCTTCTAGTTTTTAGGGCCTTCCCCAACTATATCAATTTGTACATATTTTGCATTTACTTATGAGTGTACACCTATGGTTTCCAAACTGTGCCATAGTGTCCTGGGATGCAACAAACTCATTACTTAATAAACGAAACTGTGAGGTATTCTTTTCTGGCCTAGAGCCTTAAAAAAAAATAATTACTGAGTTACTAAGGGCTGTGTGAACCAAGAAAGTTCAGGAACCTCTGTTGTACATGTTACTTCTCCTTGCTTCTAGAGGTCAGGGGCAGTTTGTGGTTTATGTCTTTGTATCCCCACTACATAGCACAGTGGATAGCACATAGCAGGTGCTTAATACATATTTACAAAATGAATGAATGAGAAAAAAGCATGATCTTAGACCTCAAATTGGGATAAAAAGACATATACTAAAATCTCCAAGAATATTAGTCTAGTACCATTTAATTTTTGTGATATCAGGAGAGAGCTAGGAAGGCTGCTAGAACTTTCATGGATCTCATGACAACCTTATGGGAAGACATGGGGAAAAGTGACCAAGGAGAAGCAAGCATGAATGGGATGGGTTGTGAACCTCATCGCTGGCAGGAACAACCTCTGTTGTGCGCACACACAAACACACATGAATTCTAAATCTCATATTTTAGTTCATAGTCACTTAGTCCTGCACCATCCCAGGTTGTTTAGGGAAATGCATAATGAAAACAAACATAATAAAAACAAGTTAGAAAAGAATGATGACTGCCCAGAAATTCTGAAAAGTATAATAACAGATCTTATATTATCTGAATTAACCATTTCGCCTTTTTTGGATCTTGTTTATCAACATTTTAAAGATTCTGACCTGTGCAGCATAAAGTATGACGGCAACTAGTCCAATCCAACTGTGCAGACTGTACATGTTAGGAATGTTCTTGGCATCGTGGAAGTCAAAAACAGCTACCACACCAATAATTGCAAGGATCAGAGCAACAGCATTTAACCCAGCATGGATGGATTTCATCAGGAGCTTGCTGCATTTCCAGGTCCAGGGCAATCTGTAGACAATAATTGCTGAGGAAAGAAAAAAAGGAGAGGGGAACAATAATTTCAAAATAATTAATAGAAAGTTAATGATTTATCTATAGTAATCTTAAGTAGTTATACATAATTCAGCAGATGCCATTCCAAATTATCTCTGAAAAGTGGGGTTTCTCAGAAGAGAATTTTGAGGCAGCTTGGTTTTAGTAGATAAAGAGTGGTCCTCCAAGCTAGGAGGACCAGAACTGAAGCCCTGTCTTTCATTTATATTAGGTACAGAACCTGGGCAAGCCACTTAACCCCTTAATGTTCCAGGCAGCTCTCTAAGACTACAAAGTTTGCAGAGAAGGTGCTATCTTGGATTGATAAAGGGAGCTTCCATGTCCAAGAGTTCCTGGAAATTACAAGTCTGGTGACCATCCCTAGCTGCCCACTAAACAGATCTCTAGGCTATTGACAATGAATGGAAAAATGGTAGTAATTCTCTATGAGGGAAAGGTACATGAATTTAGGCATAAATACAAAATACTTTATTTCAAATAATACAAGCAAAAAATTTTCCAGTTTTACATGTGTAGAAAATGTGAGTACCATATACTCATAAGTACTTGAGTCCTAAAGTAATGCATACATTGTAGGTGACTATTCTAGCAATGAAAGCTCACCTTGTTTACTTACTCCCCTTTTTACACAGAGAAAGAGAAAGATGCCAACTGCTGAATTTCTTTATCATTTTCCTTTTCTTCTTAGCCCTCAGCAACTGTGTAAATACCACAATACCTGGCATGTCATGGGCACTTTAAAAATGCTAGCCTGCTTGATTAACTTATGTGTGGTCAAGTTAGAGGACTTAGGTATTTGCACAAAGCAACTGGGTCCCTAGAGAAGGGAAAAGAGCCTGCGTGCATTTAAATTAAATGGCTCATGCTTTTATCACTTCTCAAACTTTTTGGTCTCAGGATCATTTTATGCTTTTAAAAATTGATAGCCCCAAAGAGTTGTTTATGTGGGTTATGTCTGTTGATATTTACTATAGTAGAAATTAAAACTGATAATTTAAAATTATGTATTTATTCATTTAAAATAATAATAAACCCATTATATCAACATAAATAACGTATTTCATGAAAAATAGCTACATTTTCCAAAACAAAAAAGATATATTGAGAAGAATGGCATTGTTTTACATATTTTTGCAAATCTCTTTAATGTGTAGATTAATAGAAGACAGCTGGATTGTCCCATTGGACTCCACAATTTGTTGCAATATGTTGTTTTTATTGAAGTATATGAAGAAAATCTGGCCTCAGATGTTTTTGGGAAAGGGAGGCATATTTTAATAGGCCAATAATGTCTTAGTATCATTATGGAAGTAGTTTTTACTTTACTAACCTCCTGAAAGTCTCAGGAATTCCCAAAAGCCCACAGATCATACTTTGAGAACTGCTAGCTTTTACGAAATACAAAATACATTGTTAGTTAAAAACCTATGAATTCATCAAAAAAATTAATTTTTCTGAAAGCTGTCAGGGGTGTCTAAGGCTTCAAGCACTACCTGCTGCTCTAAACAATTTCCAAATAGTCTTTCACTTCTATTATGATTAGAGCTTTCTGTTTGGCAGCTAAAAAAGGGAGTTTTTCCACCCAAATTTCCTACCAATGAAATCACAGACCCAGACAAAAACAAAAAATAAAAAAGGAGGTGGGGGTGGGTAAGGAGATCCTTTCTGACATTTTTCTTTAGAGTCAGAATTTAAACTAACACCGTCAGAGGTTTTATTTGGAGACACTAAACATGTAGAACTGGATTCATCCCACCAGATACTGGATGCATAATTGTGGGCAAATCACTTAAGCTTTCTGTGCCACTTAGGACATCTTTAAAATTCTAAGTCACAGTTGCTGATCAGGAGTTTCCACATTAACAATTTTCCCACTATGATGAAATCATAGGTCTGGGCTAAAAGCAAAACAAAACAAAAAACCTTAAACCCCAAACTTAAAAAGATAATAACAGTCTTCTCCTTTTTCTCCATTTAAAAAAAAAAGTGTTTAAACAGAGGATGATGATTTCATAACTTTTCATTCCAAGATAGCTACTGTGAAATAGAATATTCATTTTCTCCAATTGGAAGCAAAGGGGACAAATGAGTAGTATGGTACCTTGGAATCACAGAGTTGTAAGGGACTGTAAAGGTCGTCTAATCCACGATTCCATAATCTGCTCCTACTCTGATAAATATTTAATAAATTGAATTATTTAATTCCCCAGAATGACTGTCTCCAATGAGTATTCCATGCTATGTAGTATCGATTTGGAGCTTTGTAGACCCTGACATCTTTCTTCCACTCTTTCCCATTTCAGGCCACCCACAGCCCATAAAATTTTGTGTAAGATTTTTTTCAAATCTCAGAAATTTGGAAATGTGGAATAATATCTATGGAAATTTCAAGTGACCAGAATTTGCTAGGCTTTTTTGGAGACAGGGAATGGAACAGCAAATTCCAGAGAAGAAAAAAGAAGAGGCACCGTGTGTTTTTGAAACAATTACCAAGATAACCTTAAGAGGTAACCTGAACAACGCCTGAGCCTGGAAGCCTACCCTCCTACCAAGACTTGCAAGTTTCCTATCATTGGATAAATTGGTTCAAGTTATCCTGATCATGGCTTTCTTTCAGGTGAGCTATTTCACTACTTACAGTTCATCATTTCAACTGAAACTGCTTTCTTCAAGATGAAGGTTAGCAATGACCCCCTAATTGCAAAAGTCAATGGCTTTTTCTCAGCTCTTATCCTTTATTGGCCTCCCTGCTATGTTTGACATTGTTGAATATATTCCCCACCATTCCCACTCTTTCTAATATTCTCTCCTCCCTTGACTTCTGTTACACTACCGTGTTGTCCTAGCTTTCATCAAACACTTCTGTCTGCTCTTTCTCTATCCTTTAGACGGCTCCTCTTCCTTCACTCACTCCCTTAATATAAGCATAGAGTAAGGTTTGGTCCTCAGCCCCCTTTATTTCTCTCTGTCTCTTTCTTTCTCACACATACACACACACCCCTAATTCTTATCTCTTCAATCTCTATCTGACTTTTTTTTTTTACTTCTGCTAATCACACCAATGGTCATCCATGCTAGAAACTTTAGTTCTTTTAGATTCTTACTCTTCCTCTCTACACCCAATTAGTTACAAATTCTGTTTTGTATATTTCCACATATATTTCCATTTCTACTGATGCCATCATAATTTAAGTCCTTGTTAACTCTGACATGACCTACTATAAAAGCCTGCTTGGTATAGTATTCTGCATGCAACTGGCATCTGTAAACATTGACTGTTCTTCCTCAGAGAACATAGGAAAACCTTAGATAAGTATTTCTATGTGTAGCATTCTCCTCTCCAAGTTAAATATATCTTTACAAACCATTTAATGAATTATCTTAATGATGGATTATTAAAATGATTAGGTCTACTTTTATGTATCTTTGCCTTATGAAGAAATAGATCCCTAGGAGGTGCATTGCATTTTCTCCACTAAAACCAAAGTTCAGTCATCAAATTGATAAAATATCAATTAGAGCCAACTCCCAAACAGTGGTTTCCCTAGCAATTGTACATATTGTATTTTACTCTTCCACCAGCATAATACCAGCACAATACTGGTAATCTCTAGGAGCACAGGTGAACTAAGGAAAATGGAGGTCTCTTCCAACAAGCCAGCCCTAAGGGAAATAGAAACTTAGTAACAGAAGTCCTTTAGCATCTGTGTTTCAGAGTCATAGTCAAAACGTCATTGTAACCTTAGCCTCAGTATTGCCTCCTCTGTATCTTTCCTGGTTTGGCACTTTTTCTCCTTGTGGACCCCTTCCTTCTCTAGTTGTCCTTTGCTGGACCATCTACCTTCTTACCACCCCCACCCCTAATTCAGTACCTGATTAGTTCCTACCTCTCTTTCCACCCCATTTCCTCTAGGCTGATTTTCAAAGATTTAGCTAGAAATTCTGGTTAATTGACCCCTGATAATTATTAATCAGCATTAAAGAGTTAATGTTTTATGCCTTGCAGGAAATATCTTCCATTTTAAAAGGGACTTTGAACTTAAGGAGTAACTATGATTTAACCCAAAGGAATACATTATTATAATTATGGGAATGTCAGGCACTTTAGCAGGAAAATGGAGATATTTGGGGGCAGACTATTCTCTAACATTTCAAAAAGGACTGAAGTTAAAGCTTAGAAAAACATTAACTTCTTAATGTCAGAGATCACCTTCAACTTCATGGTATCAGTAAAAATCTGCCATAATTGGTTCATCCTGTTAAAGCAAAAGTTCTTTTTTTCCCTCTACCTTCTTTTCCAAGTACTCCTTAACCTTCTCTACCCAAAACTCCCTCTCTTTTTACTTCACGTGTCAACTCATTCTTGCTGGCCGTGATTTGACTTAAGTGTGTTGTAGCTCTTTAGTTCATTAATCTTTTTATTTCAATTTTTAGTGTGGCCATAAGATGCAGGCTTCACACCTAGATTCTTCTCTTAGTTTAAATGAAGTAGAGTCACAGGATCAATCAATCAATCAACAAATATCTAATTAAGGACCAACTAGGAACTAGTAATCTTACAGATTAAGAAATTGAGGCCCAAGAAAGTGAAATGACTTGCCCTAGGTTCTCTCTTTCCCTGTCTCTCCACACACACACACACACACACACACACACACACACACACACACACAGAGAAAACAACATATTGGCCTGTTATTCATACCCAAGTACCACCAGCTCTTTGTTCTGTTTCAAGTAGAGCAAAATTTCTGGCAGTCCTAGAATGAAAGGAATGGCTGACTCAGAGCTCAGGAATGTGATTTCCCTTAATGAAGAATTACTATAGAATTGTCAAATATTAATGGTCTTCTTTCTTCTTTCTATCTGTCCTAGAATACAGCTGTTCAGTACCACATTCTGAGCCCAAACAACTTGCTCTGTAACAGGTCAAACAGGGGAACAAACTACAATCTCAAATATAAGTGGTTA